CGGTCTGTTGAAGGCTCTACATAACCACCCAACTATTCTTCTCAGTCGATCCCATGACGAATATCGTTGGAACAAAATGCTCCAGAAATCAGCATGAACTGTGGATGCTCCAACAGTGACTTTCTCCTTTTTCACTCCTTCGTCTATATCTAGGAGGTCTCCCAATTCCTCTGGAGGCTGCGGGGGCCAATCTTCAACTTCTCTCCACAAGAATTCTGGACCACGGCGCCACCTTTCCAGTTTTCCAGTCTCCGAGGCCTTGATCCCTCGGGAAACATAATCCGCAGGATTGAGCTCTGATCGTACATGCCGCCACTGCCCTGGATCTGATTCTTGACGTATGACAGCTACCGGTTTGCGACGAAGGTTACAAATCTTCGTACTTCATTGGCGATGTACTTGAGAACTATCATAGAGTCAGTCCAGTAAGTCACACTGTTAATCTTCAGTCTTCCTTCTAACTCTCTCGTTATGACCTTGTTGACTTTCGTTGCTAGAGTAGCCGCTGTCAACTCCAGCTTTGGTACTGTTACAGCACTTTTCAAGGGTTTCACGCGAGACTTCCCCATTACGAAACAGCAATGAATTTGCCCTCGACTGTTAACAAGACGTAAATAAGAGGCTGTCCCATAACCATGCTGTTGGGATGCGTCGGCGAAATGATGAAGCTCTACATGTTTCACTTCACCGAAGTCCTTTGGCTTAAAACATCGAGGAATACTGAATCCTTGCAAGCTCAGAAGCCCTTCTCTCCAACTCTTCCAACGTTCACACAATTCTCTTGGGAGCTTCTCATTCCAATCCAACTTTAGTTTGCACAATTCCTGATTCATTTCTCTTCCAGGTAAGAGTAGGGGGCTGGCGAATCCGAGCGGGTCATACACAGTTGCAATAGATGATAAGACACCTTTCCGATTCTCTGGACGCTCCTTGTCATTCATAACAAAGTCAATGATGTCATGTTCAACATTCCAGTGGATTCCTAGTGCTCTATCTATAGGCAAACTTTCTGATTTCAAATCTAAACTCTTAATGGTGGGTGCTCTTTACTCCACCGGGAACGCTGACAACACGCTGCGAGAATTGGAAATCCATTTTGTCAATTCAAAGCCTCCTCTCGCAAGTAACTCCTGTAGCTGCTTACTGACTTGTACTGCGCGTTCTGAATCAGCAAAGGATTTAAGCAAGTCATCTACGTAGAAATCCTTAAGCACGGCGTCAACTGCCTCTTGGGAGAAGTCTTTCTCATTATCCTTAGCCGTCCTTCTCAGGGCGTATCCTGCTACGCTCGGCGAGGACTTTGCTCCAAAAATGTGCACGAGCATTTGGTAAGTCTTCGGTCCCTTTGACAGGTCACCATTCGGCCACCATAAATAACACAACGCTCCACGATCTTCTGGTGCTACGAAGACCTGGTGAAACATTATCTTAATATCTGCCGTGACTGCACCGTCATCTACTCGGAATCTCAGGATCACTCCTATCAGGGTGCTGGTGTTTTCAGGGCCTCTCAAAAGTTGCTCATTCAAAGACGTTCCACCACTCCTTGAGGCACAATCAAACACTACCCGCGGTTCTTCGGGTTTTCTAGGATGCCACACCGCGTGATGAGGAAGGTACCATGGCGGCTTAAGCACTGGGACTTCGTCATCAGGTACCCGTCGTGATGCTCCCTCGGTCAGGTACTTGTCCATTACGCCACTGTACTTTCGGTGGAAAACTGGATCCTTCCGCATCTTTCTCTCTAGCCAACTTAACCTGCTTGTGGCCGTCGACAGACTCTCAGGAAGGTCAGGCTTCTCTTGTCGAAAAGGAAGCTTAAGCTGATAGTGTCCGTTCACTAAGGTCGCTGACTGATCCATAAGTTCCTGTGCTTTACGGTCCTCAACAGACATGCCTTCCTCAGCATTGGCATCATCTTCAACAAATTCCTCATCATACATGTGCTCTAGCTGAACGCTTAAGCTATCTTGGCCAGTGCGAGTAAAGTTTATGTGAACACGGTCCTTAACAGTTTCTCCAATCGGACCGTGGACTGTCCACCCAAGGGGCGTCCTCACTGCAACAGGTTCGCCTTGTTCTCCTTCTTTCCGATCGAACTGCTTGTCAATCAGGTCTGGGCGATCGTTTCCTATCAAAATTGTCAGACACCTGGTTCTCAATATTGTCTCTAAAGTTCGTAACGCCACATACTCCAAAGGGTCTCCACTGAATTTCATCAACTCTACTTTCGGTAAGG